TGTCATGAAGAAATAAATAACCATCGGTTGATTAGTAGTCAGTCACCTAGATATGGGGTTGTAAAATATAATAACATTTCACTGTCACGAAGAAAACAATAACTATCGGTTGATTAGTAGTCAGTCACCTAGATATGGGGTTGTAAAATAAAATAACATTTCACTGTCATGAAGAAAACAATAACTATCGGTTGATTAGTAGTCAGTCACCTAGATATGGGGTTGTAAAATATAATAACATTTCACTGTCACGAAGAAAACAATAACTATCGGTTGATTAGTAGTCAGTCACCTAGATATGGGGTTGTAAAATAAAATAACATTTCACTGTCATGAAGAAAACAATAACTATTGGTTGATTAGTAGTCAGTCACATAGATATGGGGTTGTAAAATATAATAACATTTCACTGTCATGAAGAAAACAATAACTACCGGTTGATTAGTAGTCAGCCCCTAGCTATGGAGCTGTAATATAAAATAACATTTCACCATCATAAAGAAAACAATACATGTTTATACTTACGTATTAGCCCAGATTTCAAAACTTAAACTGTTTTCTACATCATGGACTCTAGGACTAAATCGTAGCTGAATCTCAGCCTAAAGAAAAAAAAAACCTGAGGCAAACTAGAGTATATTACTTTGAACATTGAGTTCAAAACTAATAAATAAGTAAACAAACCAAAACGCTAATTTTATAATTATTATTACAAATATTAAAGATAAATTTTCCAAAGCTGTAACGACCTAGAACAAACACATGTCATGGTAATTATAAAAACACATGGTAATTAAAACACATGTCATGATAGTCCTAGAATATCACCTAACCATGGTTCTAGTATCGTCCTAGACTATCACCTAACCATGGTTCTAGTACCGTCCTAGACTATCACCTAACCATGGTTATAGTACCGTCCTAGACTATCACCTAACCATGGTTATAGTACCGTCCTAGACTATCACCTAACCATGGTTATAGTACCATCCTAGACTGTCACCTAACCATGGTTCTAGTAACATCCTAAACTATCACCTAATCGTGGTTCTAGTACCATTCTAGACTATCACCTAACCATGGTTCTAGTACTGTCCTAGACTGTCACCTAACCATGGTTCTAGTACCGTCCTAGACCATCACCTAACCATGGTTCTAGTACTGTCCTAGACTATCACCTAACCATGGTTATAGTACTGTCCTAGACTGTCACCTAACCATGGTTCTAGTACCATCCTAGACTATCACCTAACCATAGCTATAGTACTGTCCTAGACTATCACCTAACCATGGTTATAGTACCATCCTAGACTATCACCTAACCATAGTTATAGTACTGTCCTAGACTGTCACCTAACCATGGTTCTAGTACCATCCTAGACTATCACCTAACCATAGTTATAGTACCATCCAAGACTATCACCTAACCATGGTTCTAGTATCGTCCTAGACTATCACAAAGAAACAGCAGGAAGTTTATATACATGTTTTAATAAAGTGTAAATATACTTTATTAATTTACATGATGAGCTTCAAAAGGATATAAAAAATAGACAACAGATATCTTAAAATGTGAGGAGATGAAGATCCTGGACTTACCTCTCCAATGAATGGATGGCCCAACTCACAGATAACCAACCTGTTATTTTCTGGTGTACAGACTATATCTCCTCCTTTCTAAAACCAACGAGAAGAACATTAAAAGATTTCAGCATGTTAATAATCAGAATTTGTATAACATAATTTCTAAAAAGCAGGATGTAGTTGTTTGGTTAGTACCAAGAAATTTATTGTTTTAAAAAAATCTAGTTTCTAGAAAGTCCAACTTTCTAGCTTATTATTTCTATATTTAGTCCAGCTCATTGTTCTGACGTATAGTCCAACTTTCTAGCTTATTATTCCTATATTTAGTCCAGCTCATTGTTCTGACTTATAATCCAACTTTCTAGCTTATTATTCCTATATTTAGTCCAGCTCATTGTTCTGACGTATAGTCCAACTTTGAGCTAATTAGCCAAGGTCAGAAGATGCTTTTGTTCAAATACAAAATACAGTTTGAACTCAAGTTGAGTATGTAGTTTACAGAACATGTTAAACTACAGCTGTCGTATCAACAGTACAGTTTGTATTTTTACAGGTAGTACATAACTTAATCAATGAAATATTATAATAGCGTTGTTAATCATACTATATAAATACATTATTATTTTTCACGTTTGAAATTTGATTATTAAACTTAATATCCACTACCGGCACTTGTACGGTACGGCTTCAATAAAGTTTGTATTGTGTAAATATAAAACGTTGTTTTTAATTAATTATTTATTATAATTTTTAACAAAAAATTAAACTTAATGTTTGTCAAGTAAAAAATAAAAGCTACGACACTTTGGTTAGAATCATTTGTACTTACCGTACTTTTTTGTCCTATATAGCTGACTGGTGCAGGATGAGAAACGTACAACTTTGCTTCAAAAGCAGGTTCCCTGTTGTTTTTCACCGTCAGTGTCATGTTTAAGTTCTCTTCGCCTAAGTACAGCACCAACTTTCCATTTTCTCTAAACAAAAGTATCAGGATTGACAGTTAGGATTGATAGTTTCTCAAATTTTCAAAATGACACAGAGATTTCTTTGTAATTATAAGTAAATTTGTGAAATAGTATTCCTTCATTTTTATTAATTATTATTATTGTATGTACGTTTTCTCATTTCCAATTAGAATTAACCGTAACATTAATCTCACAGTGAGTCAAATCAACTGACACTAGGTGGTGCTGAGGTTTATGTCACAGTAACTATGTAAATCAGTCATTCTACATTGATCAGATGGTTTGTCAATAGCCAATAATTGAACTTTAGCATTGTCAGCTGGTAGCAACAAGAAGTGATGATTACATAAACCAGGATCTCGAGAATGTCGAGTTTTAGATTGGATATATTACTTGAAACATAACAGAGGTTATAAGTGTTGTGAGTTATAATTAAAAAGAGAGTGTTATATTATTTTGTTATAACTTACAAAGTTAGGATTTTATCTCTCTGGTTCTTTTTCTTAACTTCTTGCATTAAGGTGAAATTATTGTGTCACCAGTTCGAGGTTCAGTTGTGTCAATTATAAAAGTCTGTTCACGTCTTTTTGAATTGTGAGTATATTCTGTTTAATTTGTGAAAATTAAAAAAAATACTATATATATTTTTTAAGGATCCCAATACTAAGGATATATTAAAACATTATATAAATATTTAGATATCTACTTTATATTGACAAAAACAACAAGAGGAAATCCTCCATAGACATGACACTTGAAATTCTTTTAGGCAGAATTAGAGTAAATTAATCAATGAGACTTTTATTTTCCTTTTTATTAGCTATATTTTTTGTGAGCCATCATGGAGCGCGTGTATACCCGATTCAATTTTATTACTCATCAGGACTTCTACTAGCCTACCATCAAATTGAAATTCTTTTAGCCATGATTAGAATAAACTAATCTATGAGACTTTGGGCATGATCAAGTCGAAAAGGTTTGACCTACTGAGTCCAAAACCGTAATTAGATCTCAAATCAGTCAAGAGATGACAGAGCTATGAGACAAAAGTTTGTACTTGAAAAAAAAAAAGAAGAAAAACTCAGAGTCATTCTAGGAGCCACTACGCTGTTGGTAAAAAGTTTAACATTGATATGAGCAATGTAGAAATTAATGTGTAGAACATCTCATTGTTTTCTAATCATTCTTGCTTAAATTTGTTTGTTTGTAGTTAAGCACAAAGCTACACAATGGACTATTTGTGCTTTGCCCACCAAGAGTATCGAAACTCGGTTTCTAGCACTGTAATTCTGCAGACGTACTGCTGGGCCACTGGAGGGCATTATCTTAGAAAAGAGCTCTCTGTGGATGTGCAAGGAAAACAGTTGTAAAAATGTTCTTCCTTAAATATTCATAGCTATTCTCTATCATACATTATTTGAATGTATTGTTACGTTTCCGTTAATTAACTTTCCGTAACTTCGTTCCGATGAAACTTTAGCGACACAAGTCCTTACTTAATAAAACTGGTTTATTCTTTCTGAATATAACTTTACGATACACTTGATTTCAACATTCGTGCTAAAACAAACGCTATAACGAATGTTAACTTCAACAATACTTTCTCACTGCAGATCAATTACTCACTACCTACACACATTGTTCCGTCATGTTGTCACCCTCTTATATATATATACCAGAATACCCTATATCTAGTAATCTCCCGAAGGTTCGAGAGAAGTGGCCTGACACTAGTCACGTGACCTTGCTGACGCAACACTATTCTCAGATGAAGGACAGCTTTTACAGATGTATGGACATATACAGATTTTTCTAACTAGCAAGTGAAAAGTCTCCCAATATAAATGTCATTTTAAAGTATTGTATACTTTGTTTTATGTTTTGTTGCGGAAACTTTAAACTGAACATCCTGTTCTTCTGGAGTTTTAATTTTCTTTAGACACACAACTCTTTGAAACACTTTTTTCTATATTTTAAAATCATCATTAAAGAAGTTCACATACTTTGTTTTATGTTTTGTCGCGGAAACTTTAAACTGAACATCATGTTCTTCTGGAGTTTTAATTTTCTTTACGCACAACTCTTTAAAACACTTTTTTCTATATTTTAAAATCATCATTAAAGAAGTTCACATACTTTGTTTTATTCTGCAATACTTATGAAAAATGGAAGCTTTTTTTACCTTTTAAACTAACATGTTATTGTGATTTTAATGACTCACAAGAACTGAGGAACATTACCCATCATCTACTTTAATTATTGAGTACGAGTTGTTACGTATTTGATAGGATTATTTATTATCTTATGCAGAGCTGGTACTATGGAAAATTGTGGCTTGTGCAAACTTTGTGTTCGACACCCCTGCCTCAGTAAAACTGACAAGAACTGCTAATTGTAATGCTGATTTTTGTGCCCATCGGGTTGGGTGCCCAGTGCGGGGGGCACACATCGCCCATTCTGACTTAGCTAGTGTTTGTACCTTGTCTACAGGGTACAAACTATCCAAAGTTAATACATTTATACAACAAAATAAAGGAATGTAAAGTTTGAACCTTAGATAGTTTGTACCCTGTAGATGTTGTATAAATGTATTAACTTAATAGAGGAATGTAAAGTTTGTACCCTGTAGATGTTGTATAAATGTATTAACTTAATAAAGGAATGTAAAGTTTGTACCCTGTAGATGTTGTATAAATGTATTAACTTAATAAAGGAATGTAAA